CAGAATCTGAAGGGGGCACTGAGGGGTACGATCCAGATGCTGGGGTGGTCTCTCCTAAGGAGGCCTCCTCCTGCGGTATGGGGTGATGTTCAAAGAACTTGGAGACAAACAGCAAACTGTGAGGCAAGAACAAAACAGAAACAACCTAACTTGTGCAAAACCCAGAAGCTTCACAATGTAACACCCAAAGATTAAAACAAAACAAAACAAAACAGAAAACCACAAAACCCCCCATCAAATTCTAAATTTTAAAATAAAGACTAGCACATTAATCGTCAAGGAAATAATATTTTTAACAAATCTTGCAAAAGGATCAAAAGATCATGCCTTAAAGATACCTTTGCGGAAAGTAATTTTTTAATCTTTTAGTTGAAATTGCAAACATCTGGTTCCTCAAGAATGCACAACTTATACCTATATGTTGAAGTACACAAACTTATTTTAATGTTTGCACTGATGCAATGCCAAAAGCCAAATGGATAGAACTACGTTATCCATAAGCCCTGAGCACAAACTCTAGAGGTGCCCAAGGAAACAGTTACACATACCAACATAAGCAGAAGTTAAATTTATTCTTGGAGGAAAAACTAGCATTTTAAATGATTCCTTATATGAAAGTCTATTTAAAAGACTTAATAGCCTCTGCTGAAACCAATTAAATAGAACACAGAGCCAGTTTACACCAGATCCTTAACCTACATCAAAGACTTACACAAATAGATCAATAATTAAATTCAAGAACACGTGACTGTTTCGGACGTTCTCTTTTATGTTTCTTACCCACACATCAAACTCACTAATGGATTTATTTTCAATCACTGTAAAACCAACTGCAATTTCACCAAACTAGTGTCTCAACACTTTTTTCAGGTTGAAGAGAATAAACCCACATCTAAACCCACACCTAAACATTTAAGGGTGCTAGCCATCACATAATAAAAGAACCAGTTTTGATTAAGAATAACAACCGTGAACAACGGGAAGTCTCTCTGATACAGTCAAGTACTCAGCCACCCCATTCATGCTTCAAAGAAAGCATTTCATAGTCCAGCAAAAAAATACAAACCGGTTGTCTGAGCTAGCGCAGAGAGAATATGAACTATGCAGTCTCACAAGAACAGTTGAACTCCTATATTTTTTTCAGGCACCTCCTCTGTTAAATCTACAGATTTAACATAAGAAATCACTGACAGCTGTAAGCTTAACAAAAGGCTCAACTTCAAAACCAATTGTGATTACTTACTCAAGTTGGTCATAATTAACACACATCAGTGGCACTTCTGTACTACAGCGCTGGTGAAATTTGTAGCCACATGTCTGGCACCGGAATCCCTGGAAAAGCAGCTTTCGACAAAAGTCGCAGAATGCTAACGTGAAGAATGTTTTTCGTACCTACGTTGTCAAAAATAATCATAATTAGAGTCTTTCTGTAAGCCTAAGATAGGCTATTTGCTTTTACCTCCCTCAAATACACTTACAAGCCTCTTTTTTGATGCTGGAGCTACAGTTTTATATATCAAACAGATTTACATAAAAGATTGTCTCCTTTTTGAAATAGTCTTCATGCATTAAAATCTTCTTTCAACTATTTATTGGAATTAATGCTTCACTTCATTAGCAGTAAGAAAAACAGCAACGAATCTGAAGCAAAACAGTGCACTATTATCATGCTAGACACAAACATTCAGAATTTAATTGGATACAACCTATAAAAACAAAAGCTGCTGAAAGATTATCTCATCTTCTGATTTTTCCAGGAGCCAAATGACATTTCTATCCAACACTCACAAGACTGGAAATACACATACAGCTTTTATATATGGCTTCTATGTGTGGATACATATATAGTTGTAATTTTGACTACTGAAACTCAGAAAAATTTCAAATCGCAAGAGGGTGAACATATATTATCCCCATAATATAGGGGGGGAAAAAGATTTAGTTTCATTTTCAAATTTAGCAATACTTGGCATAAAAACACATTCTAGTTGTATTACTACATGTAATAATCAACATTTCAGAAGGATGTAAAAAAAAATGTTAAGCCTACTAGACTTTCACCTAACTAGCCATAGCCAAACTAGCTTGTTTGAGTAAAATAGTTTAAACAGCTTGCAAATAGAATTTTGGTTTTTCATTTAAATAAAAGGTCTTTCTTCTCAATGTGACAAACATTATTTCCAGGATTTTGTATGTAGCTGGAACTGTTTAGATGGATTCTGTTTAGCAGCTTCCATTTACTTGGGCCTTATCAGGTCAAAACATATTTGTGCACTAGCATCACTGATGATGTCAGCACCGCTCTGGGAATAGTTAGTTCATTAGTTAATTGCTGCTGCAGAGCCAGCAGGGAGGCCCAGAATATATTTTATAGATACAGCAATACAAAAATAGTAGATTATTATTACAGCTCTGCAATGCAGTGCTGATTTAAACCCCCTACATTTATAGATTTTAGAGGGTGTATTCCGTCCAAATGTGAAAGTTTTAAGGGCGATCAAGTACTCTGACTTCACTTATGTCAATTACAATTCTATCTAATTCACTTAAGCTATTGTGATTAAAAACTTCTTTTGCAACCCCACCACATTCCCCAGATACAAAATATTATTCAAAGTTGTTAATTTGAATTTGAAAGTACAAAGTTGATTTAACCCTATTCAACATTTCATAAAAAACAGTACATACAAAATTGTGTGTCGTGAGTGGCACATTCTCCAAGACTTCCACATGCAACTCCTCTCCCGTGAGCCAGGAAATGTCTGTGTCCCAGCCAATTGGCTTCTTCTCTCTGGAGTGTAAATAAGCCTTTCATTAGCACCAGCGCACAAGCCCTTGCAGGTCTCCTGCTGATGTGAGATCGGGTAGAAAGTTGCACTGGGGGGTTTGCTACCCAGTCTCTAACTGCAGGAAACTTTAAAGGCAAGACATTACCAAGGAAAGCACACCTTCCCTGGACAAACAAAATTCACTTTTTCAATCAGCTCCAGTAGTGACGATTCCTTGGTTCCAAGGTGACAGATACCCTTCTGAGCAAATAAAGTGCTTGTGAAAGTACCTGTTCCATAAGGGTTCCAAAAAGATGGCTAATTTTGTGCAGTAAGATAATATTTTTAGGGCTGGAAACTCATTTTTTTTTTCCCCACAGGAACTCTGTATTCAGTTAAGAATGCACTACAAGTCAAATAAAACCAAAAAAGTTAGCGAAACCTATTTAATACTTGTTTGGTTAGCATGAGTTTGATTAACAAGTGTTTTGCCAGCAGTCTATGAGCTCGTATTACTCTATATTATGTCTGTTCCTGAAGCGATTAAATCTTTTTCTAGGAGTTTGCCATTCTTTTTAGACATGTCTTCAAGGCACAAATTGTTTTAGTGCAAAGAATCATAACATCCTGAACTCTGAAAACAAGTTCCACAATGTTGGATAGAATCGGCCATACTGCGTAACTCCAAGAAGAGATTCTAAGAGCAAAAACCATCACACACAAACCATACCCATCTTGTATTCTGTAAACAGCACAGCATTCTGGAATAAGACCTCTCATCATCAGTGCTTTCTTTAGGCTGTCTCGGACTGTCACCCCACATCTTGCTGGAACCTAGAGGTCAAATATAAAAGAAATTAATTAAAACAAGTTCCAATTTATCCCCCCAAACTGATGCAAACATTTTGAGCCTCAAGTGCTAAAACCTACTTTTCATGATGCTTTACAGAATGCTAGGTGAGAGTTTTTCAAAATCTTTTTCGTACTGTGGAAAATTTTATTGGTGAATAGTATATAAGCAATCTACCTCAGCTAGAAGAGAGAACAAACTCTACATTTCTATTAACATTTGGAATGAAATCTTGACCCAACTCTAAAAGTGACTTTCCAACTCTTTTAATCTTGAAGAAAGAGGAGACACAGCACACAGATAGCTAATAACTACGTACATCTATAAAAAGTTCAGGCCAAGCTGTAAAATTAAGTGGGGCAACATGCCAAGTGGAATTAAAATGAAAGAACTAACTTGGACTGCACTCAAAAAACTGTTATGATAAAATGTAAACATTTTATTTTCTATTTCTAAAATAGAAGATAAGCATGCAAACAAATAAAATAAAACAATCATCTGAGTCAGGCAGGCTATCACCTCTCACTTTAACCTATATTTGCAACTCTACAGACTCCTCTTATTTGAAAAACGTATTCCTCCCTTCTGTTTCAGTATTTGAAAATTTTAAATACCTCACAGGATGGGAAGAATGGAGAAGCACACTGAAGCCAAACAAAGAACTGCAAACTATGCAAGTAAAGATATTTTCCTTGACTCTATTCTAGCTGTAGGCATATCTTACAGGAATAAGTACATACTCTCTAGGTATACCTGTGATTTAACAGTGTATAGTGTCAAGCCATAAAAACAGAACAATACATAATCTGGTGATTAAGTGTAGTTAAGGTGTTGAGTATCATCCACTTACTATTTCTAGAACTAAGCAGTGAAAATATGTAACACTTTAGCTGGTATACACACTGGGACATCTCCTATAATCACAGATGGCACCTCAAACATGAATCAAAAGAAAAACCCACAGACTTAACTAACCAAAAAGGTCTGTCTGAACACCTGAGACTCAATTCTAGCTTGCTAGTGGCTTAAGCCAGAGCCCTCAGTAGCCAAAAACAATCTCTTAATCAGCTTCAACTGGCTTTGGATCGGAGCCTAGTTTTTGCTCCTTGCACTTAAATTTCCATGTGTATTTAGGGGCCCTATGTCCTACTTAAGGATGATAGTGAAAAGTAGCAGTCTATTTCAAGTAGCTTTGTGAACACCACTTGAGGTTACACTATATATTGCATTTCTAGAACTCAAACATATGCTCTCTCAGAAGAGACAAATTAAAGGAATATTTTGCTTCACAATCTTCCTCCCAATAATATGAAAGTGCTTCTTACAGGATATTTGTGCATTTCATCTGGTCAACATGTAAACATTTTAAAAAGAGAATTTCTACTAATTCCTTGGAAAAAACATCCTACAACGTACTGCTTTACAATCTTGATGTTCAGCCTTAAGTGACTTTGTTTTACACATTCCATTACTTCTTAACGCATCTTTTTATTAATCTAAGTAACTTCTTCCCATCCTAGAAGTTAACACTGTGGCTTTCAATCACTTGTAGGTCATTCCCCCAGCAAAAAACATCCTTAATTGTTACTAATACCTGTCACTGGTATTAAAAGGGAGCCTGGGAGCACCTGTCAATATTGTCAACAACTTTCCATTGTAAAACTCAGCCCTCTGTTGCTTAACTCTCTACCAAACTGATTGTTCACACTGAAACCAACTGTTCATACGGTCGTTCTGAGACTGGTACCCCCTGCTCCCGATCCCTGGCAATGTGGTTAGCATAACTACCGCCATTTTATGAGGCAAGCAGCCATTCTCTGTGACTGAGTGGGTCACGTATTCGTTCTCTCTCCCCTCATTATCAGGCCCTGAAGGTCCTGTGCACCAAGCAGACAAACCAAACAGACTACTTCTTCCCCTCCCCACCGGCCTCAAGGTTCCCGGGCGCCAGGCCGATTACTCTCATCCTTGCTGGCCTTGAAGGTCCCAAGCATCCGGGGCCACCAGGTGGTGGTGACGGCCCTGTCACAGAAGAGGGAAGCATAACAGCTCCCAGAGCACTGTCTGTAAGATCAAGCAGTTGTAAGTCCTAAGGGGGGAACTTGGACTGGGGCTGCTGCTGGACAGTGAGACCCAGGGCCCACCGTGGCCAGGGACGCCTCCACCGTCCTCTGCTTCCTCCCAGGACTGAGGGAGTGACTCATATTCTTTTATATGAATTTAGAGTCTAGATTATGATTGTTATATGGATACAGCAAACCATTTATTAAGATTTGACCCAATCTGCAGAGGGTCCAGGCGATTAGAAATTAGAAGTTAAGTTGCATTATAAATTCTGTATTGTGCCACTTATAAATTGTACTATACTGATGTTGCTTGTAGAAATCCTGTGTCATTCTAGTCATAAATTCTGTGTTATACTAATCATAATATCATGTTAAGAAAATAAAGCTTTAAATTGTAACTATGATTTAGTGTCGTTTTCATGCTGCCAAGGATCCCTAACAGAACCTGTCTGTCCCCTCAGTGTCAGGTGACAAGTTCTTCCCTGCCTCCAACATCTATATTTACAAATACAGAGGAAATATTTTTAAGAATTTGACTAAAATATCTGAGGATTTCAGAGGTGTGCTCCAGCCTCCCACACACGTCAGGTCCACTCATGAGCCACTCTGATGAAGCAAGCAAGCGTTCTTCAGCTCAAGGCTATTTGTCCTGTAAGTACAGCTCCCGCTGGATTGAGGTAGAGCCCCCACAGACACTTCAGGTCTACCTTTCCAGCAACCTCAGTTACTTCACCACTGATATCCATAGTGGAAGAAGAAATTCAAATACTGAGAGGGTGACAGACAGACCGTAGGGGAAAAAAGGGGAATGAGAGAGCCAGGAACGTGGTTGGGCATGAAGGAGAAATGGGAGAAGAGAAGCAGGACAAACGTAAGAACTGACCAGGGAAAGCACGTTTATACTGGGAGAGGGGATCGCCATCAGCAGGTTGGTGGGAAACAACCAAGCAGGACAGCGGGAAGACAGACTGAAGAGCTAAATGAGGCAGAGGGCAGGAAACAAAGATACGATGAACTACTATGTAGGGGAGAACTGGTTGAAACAGCTGGGGAGGCAACGAAAGCACATCCTGAATAGGAATCTTTCATGCTGTGATTAGGAGAAAAGACTGCTCATTTTGGACGAGAAGCACGAGGGGGAAGGGACTGCCTAAGCGAAGCATTAGAACTGAGCATAGAAAGGGGAGAGGTTCTAGCTCAGGCAGAAAACTTCAAGGCAGTAAGCATTAAAAGAAACCAGGGTAGTAAAATCTAGACCTGGGTGAGGGAACAGAACAGGACAAGGAGGAAAAGCAGTAGAAAGCAGTGAAAAGCAGTGGAAAGGTGACTAACATTAAAGAGGAGATGAAGAGAAAGAAGGAAGGAGCCTTGTGCTCAACTGGAAGACATTTTCTTCCTCCAGCACTGATCCTCCATGAAGGGCAACAATATTCTCCAGTACCTCATGAAGCAAAGGTCTGCATCAGAAACCAAAAAGTTCTAACTCCATTAATGAATTACACTGGTGTAAATAATGCCACTTCAGGTGATTTTCATTTTTTTTTCTTTAATTCTGCTGAAAACAAGATTTATTAAGTTACAGGCTTCCTTTTAAGAGATCATTAAGGCCAGAAAGGCAAGCTCTCAAAACTTGGGAAGAATCAGAATGAAGGTTGCCTATAGCTACGCAAGTGCAATAGGACTACAAAAAACGTGCATTAGGCATCTCACTCCCATATCATTCACTGTTCCTCAGTATTACTTCCCCAAGTTCCCTTCATTAAAATCCGAGCCATATTTATGCAACTTGCAATTAGAAACATGAATAGTACATTTGTTCTCTTCACTGCCATTTGCAACAACATTCAGCTAAAAAACAGTTAGGGAACTCTTTTGATTTCTCTTAAAATCTCCAGGATCCTGAATCAGCATCACATTTAGAACATTCTCATACAGAACTCCTGAGCAGAGAAACAGAAGGCTAAATTAAAAGAACTGAATACTAGAATAAATCCCTGTAGTATTGATTAATCATTTTCCCAGACTGGTACAGTACGGTCTATCGCCATCTGTGCATTTAGGCCTTCAGCCCCCTCCTTCAGTCCCTACCAGCACCTGCTGTAAAGCAGAAATCTCACCCTGCAAAGCGCTCCCCTCTAAAACCTCTTTTTTTCCCCCCATCCTCTTCTCACACCCAAATCATGGCAAAGTTAAAGAAAAATCCAGCTCCAAGACAGTGATTTGGAGAGCAACTCAATCTTAAGAAAAAAACACAAATTCTTTTTTTCCAGCTAACAGACAGGCTCCCTGAAGTAGTAATTTCAGAACAGCTTCTACTCATCCCCAGCCGGAGAGAGGGCATGCAGCCCCACAGCCTGGGAGTGCAGGGAGCAGGAGCCCCGGCGTGGAGCAGCCACACTGACCCACTCAGCCCCCAGGCTGCCTGGCAGGAGCCGGCAGCTCCAGCCCAGCAGGCAGGCAGGAACCAAAATGGGTTTATCAATTCCATCAAGTTTTGACAGGATTCCCACAGAGCATTTTAACTGAATCACATCAGCGTTTTTTGACAAAATCGGTTCCCCATGAGAAAATTTCTGACCTACTCCAATATACGCACCCTTATCACTGTAATCCAGTAAACTGAACAAAGAATGCTTAATATTATTTCAAACCCATTTTGTCCACATCCATCCATCATCTTTTGATCTCCCTATTTTGTAACTAAAAGAATCTAAATGTTTCATGCTACTCAATTAGGGGATCTGTTTCCAAATTCTAATTGCGAAGGGTTTTCTTTTTAAGTTACTTAGGTATATAAGATTTGTAGATCAGAAAAGGTTTCAGTTTTTATAACAATTTGAATAGTTGATTCAGCAAACATTTTTCAAAAGTGAAGAGCATGGGCTATACAATACTAAGGAACAGTACAGAAGCTGCCA